AGCTCTTTTTGCTTCCTTCTGGTAGTTTAAGCTTGTTTATGCCTTTTCAGCTACTTTTTGCTAATTTCAGCTTTTTTATCAAATTTCCTAATTTGTATGCTAGTTTCAGCTTCTTTTTTAGCTAACTTACTCATTTTTGTGCTAATTTCTGCTTTTTTAAACTTAATTCCGCAAATATGTGTTTCTTCTGCTTTCTTCTACTAACTTAGGCTTGTTCTTCCATTCCAGCTATATTTCAGCATGATTTTAGCTAATTTTATCTGTTTTCAGCAAGTTCTTCAGCAGTAAGCATTCACACTGCATTTTCACAGGAAATGCAATTTCTCTAGTTTATTTTAGAGCACACCCCCAGAAGTATGAGCACATTCAGATTACATTAGGATTAGGTAGAAACGATCAGATTGATCAAAAACCATACGAATATCTGCTCCAGCTTGTTCCAGAACAGTTTTTATCAGTTTCTTTGAAAGGGCTCTGAAGGTGCAGCTGTTTGTTTCAGCTCCGTGTTTTTAAAGAGAATCCATCAGCAACTAGAGGCTGACTTGGAAAAACACGAGCAATATCTTACTGCGGATTCATCGATTTCTCTCTGCAGTTTGGTGCTTACCAGTGTAATTAGTGACCAATTACTTCCAGTAAATAATGATCACAGATGCTGGAAAGCTAAAATAAATAATAATTCAAAAAGAATACACGTTGAAAGACAGCTGGCAGATCCACAGTGAGGGTGAAGAGGGAGTGGAACAGAGCATTGGAATACAAACTAAGGAGCCCTGAAGGTCACTTCAGAAAACAAGAGAAACACGATTATGGTTTATGAGATGTTCTGGAGCTTTGTTGTGGAAGCTGTTGCTCCATCTGCACATTTGATCTGCTGTTTGTTTTTTTAAATTCCTCTCCTTCCATCGCCCCTGCCTCTTGTTTGTAACCGTTTGTTTCACTTTGAACACCCTCCTCGCATCTGTTTGGGTTTTGACTTGCCAAACCCTCCCTCCCTTTGCCCCTCTAACCGTATTCTGGTTTCTCTTCGTCAGGTCAAACTTTCCGAGGAAGTTCAGAAACTACAGGAGGAGAGCGACCGCGAGCTGACAGCCTCTCTGGTGGAGCTGGATCCCCAACAGGAAGACCAGGAGGACAAAACCAAGCTCCTCCTAGAGCGCCTCAAGACCTTGGAGGTACCGTATTCTCCAGCGTATAAGTTACAGTTTCTTGTATAGATTTGTCAGTCCTGCGACTTATATGTCGAAGCAACTTATATACTTTTTTCCTTCATATTAGTAACACAATTTTTGACAGACGCTTTAAAATTTGAAGAACTACAATAGCGAGTCCTCCCGTGCGTGCTCGCCTCAGCTGCTGCAGGCAGAGGAACGCTGGAGAGCTACCGACTCCAGCCACGATGGATGTATGGCTGTATGGATGTATGATGCATGGATGCATGGATGTATGATGCATGGATGTATGGATATATGGATGTATGGCTGTATGGATG